CCTGCAGTTGGAAGCTATATATTCCTGACTGTTGGTATGCAGTTTGTTTAGCATAATATCTTAGTCATGTCAGGATAGGCATCACTGTAATGTAACTAATAGCCTAGGTATTATGTACAAGGAAAACTAAGTTGAGTAAATGCATGTCTTGATTATCACATAATATTACAGACTCTCACTGTGAGGTCTGTCAATTTGACTGACCTCATAACCATTTTGTACTCTTGTATTTTACAGTGCTCAAACTAACATAATTACAGTGATTTACCAAACCAGGTATAAATTTTTTTAAATTTCAAGTAACTCAGTTTTTGTAGTTTTGACTTTCTTGTTTAAATATTTTTTGTAGCATTAAAACTTTCTATATTATTATAGCCATCTAGGTTACATATATATTGATCCCTACTTGTCATTATAAAATTATTATTTTTTTTAGACTTTTATTATTATAATAATGTCTACCAACAATAGACACAGATAAACAAATTGAAAGTAATGAATCATATCATTGATTAAACTTGTATTTGTGGAAAATTAGCATGTTATTTAGCCATGGCTGTCAGAGTAAGTAGATTTATATAGAAAAGAGTAACAAAGCAGCAGTAACTCTTTTTCCAGCCTATTATCTTTTGTTTTTTATAGGAGGCAATAGACAAAGTAAATTTTAAAAAGTCTGTCTAATCTTTCTGTCATCAAATTATGTACAGAATAAAACTAAATGAAATGTTTGTATTTATAATTTTGTTTCAATATATGTTTTATTAACATTTGTTTTGGATAAAATAAGGAAGAAAAACCCAAATTACTAACCCTAATTTTGCTTTTTGTCTATCCTAATTGTAGTTTTTTATTTGAAAGTAGGATAATTAATCTTCCCACCTGCATGGATAAGACTTAAAAGTTGTCAATGTATGAAACAAAGCCAATGTAAATTTGGGGACCATGTACATGTTCATAGCTTATATCAATCTCAATTATTTTGGAAACAGTCAATTTTAAAGTTGGGTTTGTTAAAAAATATATTGTCTGCATACTGTGTTTTAAAACTTAAAAATTAAAAAAAGTGTTAATATGTTATCTGAAAGTCTGGATTATTTTCTTTCTCACAATCTATTTGCTACAGAGCTCCATTTCATTTTAATCTGAATTGTAAATTTCTAAATTTTTAGTTATTTCATCAGAAGCCTGTTAATTGCATGCATTTAAATAATCTAACTATAGCATGATTTAGTATTTTCTGTATGATGTATCAAGGTACTAATTTTTATAGATTCCTCTGGTGTTTCTTATTTTGTAATTATTTTAGCAGTTCCTTTCGATTTTATGAAAACTCCTGAATGTCAACTGAAAATATAGTTTTATGATGTACTTTACACCAGTGTGAGATTAGCAATTAGTGTAGGTGTTTTTGAATCAACTATACACCTAGGTGGGAGAGTTCGTTATTGGGTATGGAAGTCCATACTGATGGTTTTTGGCCAGAAATGTGTGGAAATGTTTTGCTAAAAACAAAAAACAAAAACATTACCAGACTTGGTTCTTCTTGTATGTTTTTGTTTTGTTTTATACTTGAGTCACCTTTTTAATAAACTTGTATCTTTATAATTATTTATTCTATAAGCCAACTACCTGTGATAATCATGAGTGTTGGCAAAGTTGGAGGGAAAGGTTTGTTTCTGAATACTGAGAAATTTTTGGTACTGAAAAAATTTGCTATTCCTATCTGTATGTATATAATGTTTAAAAGGAGTTCCGAGATAACTTTTATAAATATAATTTTAGTTTTAACAATATGTAAATTATTGCAAAGTTTCTTCCAAGTAAGTGGGCTACTCCATGACATCAGAAAGCCTAACTGTGATTTTGTTATTGCTGATAAGTGTATGTGTGAAATGGCTTTTCAGTCATTGGTTATGGATGTTGTGTAATGGCATAGTATACAGCTTTCAATGAAGTGGTTCAGGCCATGACATCATCAAGCTTGACTATGATATTGATAAATTAATAAGTGTATGCGTGAAACCTGGCTTTTAGGGCATTGGTTATGCATGTATTTTATAATAGTGTTATACAACTGTCATGTAATGGTTTTTATTTTGCTGTTAAACATTTACCAAAAAATTAACTTAGGTGTGAAATTGTTCATTGTTATCGTGTTTTATATTTGAAGTGTTTGTGTATTAGATATTTTTTATAAATGCAGTTTCAAGAGTGTTCTATATAATGCCACCAGCTGGTTGAGTTGAGTATCGGGTAACAATCCTAGAGTTTGTGCTGATAGGCACTAACCCATCATACAGAATCTAGCTGCTTTGAAGTAGGTAGAATAGAGTTCATTTACTGATGTTAACACTAGTCTTCTTGCTGTAAACTGTAATATAGATTCCCCATTTTTTGCTTTTCATAGGTATACTATATGGCACTTTGTTTTTCAGCAGTCATTCCTTCTGAATGTTGGTGAAAACCTGCCATTTTTACCTTATTAGTGCAGAGGAGGCCAAAATTCTATTCTAGGTGTAGAGTTGTACCAGGTTTGATACAGGGGCTTCTGAGATTATCAGCTTACTTGTTTAACTTTACCCTTGCATGGCCTGGCATATACATCCAGGTGATGGTCTTACCTTGCAGTTGCTTTGCTTTCTGCTATCCATCTGAAGATCAACCACGTCACTCTGAATTTTATGTAGTACAGCTTGCAATGCAGTAGCAAATATGTTAGTGATATTGTCTATTTGCAGTTCATTGCTTTTAGAAATCCAAAGGAGAGCTTGCTTTATGGCTTCCAATTCCATCCTTGTGCTGCTTGTTGGAAGCTTGAATGTTCCGTCAGTCTTATGCAGAATGTTGTTGATCTATGAGATGATGAATGCCCATTCAGTTATTTTGGCTATGATGCTGTGAATGTTCACCATGATCTTCAAGTGGATGCTTTCTCTGCTTCACCCTATGTCCAGTTTCTACATTTTCCATCTAGGCTGATTTCCACAGATCTCAGTGGCCCTAGATGTTTATCCCACATAGGGCATCTGATATCTTATGGTAACTAATTATCTCAGTGGTGGCTGTATAATACCTATCCACTTATGACTGTCTCCTGAGACACCGTTTAAGCACTCTTCCCCCATGCTTGGTTGATATTTGCAGGGTCACTGGGGAGCTGGAATGTCCAAATTAAAAGGGGTAGTAGCTCATAAAAAATGCTTGGTTTTTACACTGCAAGGCCCTAGTGAAGAATTATGCATGTAAGTGCTGTTGGTGCTTTGCAATGCTGCTGAAGATTCTGAAATTTAATAAAGTTTTAATGAGGGTGGGAGAAGTACATTCTGTGGCCAGTCTCAAACAAGTATTTTTGTATCTTTTCAATTGTATCTAGCTGTGTAGCAGTTATACTGATCATTGATAGCCTATAATCAAGGATTTGTCAGTAAGACTGGTAGAGCATAAGCCATTAATATTCTTCATTTCTTTTTCCTGCTGCTATTTTCAGTACATTAATGCCTTTGGCAGCTCTGGTTATCATAGTGTTAATGTGGCTAGTGAAATTGAGTTGTCTGGTCGAAGTTATCACCCCTTTTTTCACTGTTTCTTCTTGAGGGAGGGCATGTCTACTTAGGATGCTGATGGTTGTCCTCATCAGCATGTCTGTAGCTTCAGCAGGACTGATGACCATTTCTGTGCCATTAGACCATTTGCTCACCCTTCTAAGAAATGGTTGCATCTTGTTTTTGATTTCAGCTTTGATAGAGCCTCTGCTGTTTACCAGAATGCCATCAACAAAGGTTAGCACATGTCACCTGGTTGGACTGGACTGTTAAGATAGAATAAATCCATGATTTAGATGTTGAAGAAAACTATCAAGAGTAGTGATCCTTGAGACAGACTGGTTTTGATGGTGGTTCAATCTGGTTACAATCTCCTATACGTCAGATAAATCTTTTGATAGTTGTGCAGCTGTGAACCATCTTACCGTGTTACACCGATGACTATTCAGAACATTCTTTAAGAAAGAATGGCCAACTAGACTCTCTTGTAGTTATCTTCCAGATCTAAAGCTACTGCCAAGCTGTTTTGATCAGCTTCAAAGCTTCCCTTATATTAGCTACAAATTCAATAGTCTTGATCCAAGCATCTGTTCCACCACAATAATTGTCCAATGATGAGGGTAGCAGTAGTTTATTCTGATAAGCAAACTTTCTAGCAGTAGCCTTCTTTGGAACCTTGCCAATGATGTTTTGTAGGATGATGATTCAATGGCCTTTAAGATGAAAGTGATCCATCAGAGGTTTTGGTGAGGATTTGATAAAGGTATCAATCCATATCTCAGGGATGCTATCTGTTGCCTAGCTTCATTGATACTCTAACATTAACTTCAACAGGATGGCTTCTGTAAGCTTGTTAAAGCTAGAGGTTGTTAAATCATCCTAATCTAGAGTTACTTTTTTAGATATATATAAAACTGTGTATCTTATCCAAGCTAATGCCTTCTATATCTTTATGTTACCATGATCGAATTAGTTAACCCGATATTCTCTGGGGCCATTTTGTCTTATTGTGAGGGCAAAATCATTTGTGAATTGAAAAAATGATAGAGAACTTATCTTTTATTGGATTTCAGATTTTATTTTTA